AAAAAAAACTTAGTTGAAAGAAAGAAATAAGTAAATAAATAGTTGATACCATATGATTGGGTATAAAAAAAGAAGAAACATTTTTATGAAATATAAGAATGTCTCGGCTTTAAATGACACACGGGGTTGATAAACCGTAAAGCAAAACAAACAAACAAAATGAAAAACGGACATACTCAAGAGACCTTTTGCCTTTATTTCAAAACAGTCAATATTTAGGATATCCCGGACGTTAAGCCGAGCGGCGCTACTAACAAGTTATCCACTGAAATTGTTAATTATTTTTGGTTGACTTTTACTTCTTTGTGTTTGTTAAGTATTTATTTGCGGTTGTAATGAAATACTGTTTTATTTTAACATTGAATTCTTGAATTGTACTTAATAATTGAAGGCGACCATACGTCACAAAAATTTTAAAAACACTGTATTTATGTTCCGTGGTATTAAGTCCTTGTTTAAATATGTATATTAGTAAAGCTTGCTTTAATTAAAAACAAAAGAATTTAAATCCTTTTCTTTTATTTCAGTATTAAAAATTTGTGTATTGCTAGTAAGGTTATCTTTAATGGGTCCATATTTTTGTGTTGATAACCCTGTTTATATATTCTGAAGCTATGAAATTAATATCAACCGGCCTAAATCAAAAAGTCATACTAAACAGAAATGGTCTTCCCGACAGTAATTGAACTTGTGCAGCCATTTTACATCCGGTAATCAACTCCCCCAGACGACGATGTCCACGTTACGCCATCACTATAAGCTAAGGTTCATTTAGCTATTAAGGAATACACTTTTGGCGTTACAAGATCTTCCCATCTCCATTATCTGCTACTTTCGTTTTTCGTAGCCGAAACGTAAATAAAAGCAATTGTTAAATGAATTTTTTAATGAGGGATTATGTTTTTAAGACGATTTATTTCTTAAGAATAATTTTTTTAAAATAATGTGCAACGAATTTCCATAGTAAATTTTTATCACATGTAAAATGCCTTTATTATATTGGTGGAGTTTTTCTTAATATTTTTGGCTCACAAAGCAAACTTACAAAGGATTTCTATAGTAAATATTTATAATGTAAAGACACACATACACACACACACACACACACACACACACATATATATATATATATATATATATATATATATATATATATATATATATATATATATATATAAATAAAGAAAGAAGAGTAAGATATATAATCCGGTGTTCTTATAGATTTTTTTTTTTTACAAAATAGTGCTCAATGTAAATTTACAGAGCATTAATATTATAAATTAATTGATTTAGAATATGGTTTTGAAACAACACAGTTCTAACCATATTCCAAAATGGAAGTTCCAAATTTAATTTTGAAATTAAATTAAAGACATTAGTTCCAATTCATCCATAACGAATTTTTCGCTTGAGGATGAAATGGAACTAATATAAAAAAAATAAAAAAATATATATATATATATATATATATATATATATATATATATATATATATATATATATATATATATAATAAAAAAGGCTTAAACACTAATATTCCATGGTCATAATTTATTCCATTGGAATCGTAAATACGATCCAAATCATCAGACCTACAAATTCAAAATGAAAACAGAAAAAAACAACTCCGGAAATCAAAACAGAATTTAGAGAAAGTGTAAGTATGAGGATGAGTGACAGAGAGAATTTTTGGAGATGTGGGTGGGGTGGATTTAAAAAGAGGAGAGAAAGAAAGTCGACGGATGTCTAATACATAAAGATACATTTCGTGGTGACATATACACACCACAGACAATTCGGATAGGAAGGGGAAAAAAAAAAAAAAAAAGGGAAGGGGTGGGGGAGAGGGATGGGACGAAGGAAAATAAAATTGTGTTTACTTAAAATTTAAAATCAAATATAAATATATGAAGATGAATATAACGATTGTCTCATTTCGCAAGGACCAAATATTTCTATGTTCAAAAACACATATTAATACACACAAAAAAAAAAAAAAAAAAACCTATACAAGTAGGTACATACACTTAGGCATGTACACACACATATATATATTCAAACAGGTTTGGTTAAATAATTTAGACATATGATGTCTATTTATTTTAGTTGTGATCCTTTCAAGTTCACGGATCAATTTCTTGCTAGCCTTAGAAAATTGATTAAGAAAAATACCAAAATTTTCTTTCAAACCGTTTTTATTTTCCCAAGTACTTTCAATCACATCTGAGACCATCTTCAGGTGTTGAAATTGTCTGTGAATGTGTATATGTATTTCTGTAAATTCAAAACATTTCAACTCTTCGTTTTACTGCGTTATACGTTCTAGATTTCAAAATCCAAATTTCCCACAGTACAATGGAGGTAACTTTTTTTTAATTTTATTATTCGTGTTGTCGTGTTATTGTTGTTTTCGTTTATGAAATATATCCATTATCTTTGTTCCTGAGTTTAATAAACTTTTATTGATTTGAGATCGCCTAGTTTTTACGCTTAAGTCTTCTAATATTGTTGTCGATTTTTTTACATTTTAAGTGATATAGTATTTTTTTTTCTTATTGGTAATGTTTCGTTGGTTGATGTTATGAGATTTATTCCAAATATTATCGCATAAATTACAAGTTAATCACCGTGGCCAGGTAATGGTTATGTAACCAATATATATGTTGTTTGAATATGGACACTGAGGGCAATACCCAAAGGCGACAGTGTGTTTCATGCTTAACGCTATTTTCAGACCATCTTCCTTTCTGAAGATTTCGTTTAAGTATAAAACAGACAGCCCCGCTGGGTGTTGACCTCAGTGTTCATAAAATTTACAAATCTAAATCTATCCCTGTTTCAAATATTTTTTGTATGAAAAAAAAAAAAATATATATATATATATATATATATATATATATATATATATATATATATATATAAACAAATATAGTCTTACATGCACATTTATATTTATGGAATAAACACTCAATATCATAAATACATAGCGCATCAAAAAATAATAAACGTGCAACAAAGGTACATTTAGAGATAAACATAATTTCATACAATTTAAATGTCAGGCTATATATAATGGTTTATTGAGGAAAAATAACATATATGACAACTGACGATACACAACGGTGTTCAAGTTTGAAACAGACTGTCGCATCTACTAATGAAGATTCAGCAGCTATGTTCTATTTTATATATATATATATATATATATATATATATGCATAGCATTCCTTAAAACTATATTTTTATCATATATCCAGGAAATCTAGTTTAAATCGTTCACTCGCTAGTAATTTACAATCGCCTGATGAAATGCGTTGTATCTTGAACCTATTTTGAAAAAAAATGTCTGTTTTACACGGGTCTTACGATGTATAACTTCAGCCTGAATTTACTTTTGTGATGCAACACCATGTGCATATAGATATATTTTTAATCTTTTCACTTTAAGCGAGTCACATCACGTCGGAGGAAACTAAGGGACTGATGTCAAGATATCAGTTCAAGATCGATTACAGTACATACCCTTCTTTGGATTTTGTCAAGGATCTCAAGATAGGTAGCAGCGGTACACGATCAGACATGGCCGTGATAAATAAATAAAAGTTCAATTCACTCATGTAAAAGTAGGTGCGTGCAAAGCGAAGAAAGTAAATAATCTTCAAACACATCACTACAAATTGAAATGATTTTTATACTCAGTAATAAAATTAACTTTGTTTTATAAAGTTCCTCGCAAACAAAGTTCACATTATTTTTTTTTCAACACAAAAGAAATAAATTGCATTATTATAAAGTGAAAATTATGTGTGAAATTATCACAGGAAAATTGAGTTATTTCGAAATTTATTAGGGGCCCCGTAGCTAATTTAAACGGACCTATAAAACTACTATTGATTGTTGACCCCCCCCCCACATACACACACACACACACAAATCCAATATTCTCGGCGATATTATGAAGCCCGGCATGACTGAACTGAACATATTTGAAAAACGTATCAATGAACAGTATAACTTGGGGTGACTGCTTTCAAGCCTTCCTTTGGTATCCAGATGTCACTTTCCAAGGCTGAAGAAAGATTTGCATGTGTCAGTTGATTGCGCTGCAAGGAGTTCGCGTCTATTAAGCCTGGGATGAATAAATTGACTCCCTGGCTGGCAATTTGAATTGGCTACATTATTCTTTCAGCTTATCCAGAAGACATGGACTTTGCCAATATCTCAACTTGGCGCCATTTTTTTTCCCCTCTTGTTGATTTCCCTTTTCGGATTCGGTATGGCTGAGATGTTTGAAAAGTCGACCTTTTTGAAAAAAGCGGTGAGCGTTGAACATAGCTGGAAAACAATGGTGTGACCAACTGAAAAATCTTTTTTTTTTTAAATGCTATACACCATTTAAGAAATACAAGAAAATGTTCACCATTGAACAAACAAAATAATACAATTTTGCCAAAATGTCTATTTACTTATCTCAAAAAGTGTTCGACCTTCAGATTTCAGTTCTCCTCTACCGTAGCTAGTAAGAGGCGATGCCAAATGATAGTGAGAGGCGATGCCACATAGGAATCGGGGATGATGCTAAATATGATCTAGAAATCTGAAGGAACAGGGCAACAGCGAAAGATGTCTTCCAGAAAGATAGCAAGGTATTAAGACATTTTTTTACATTGATGTTCGCTCTGTACAAAGCTCAAGACCCACTCCAGGTAGAGATCTACATAGGCACTTTTTATGGGGATATGTGGGGAAGGTAACGGTTAACCTTACACTTGAACAGGTTAAGATTGTAATGATTTTGGTACCATATATCGGGCCCCAATCCCCAGTGGGCCTTCCGCCAGGCAGTATCTCTCCCTCAGGAGGGGCTGGGTTTATTTTCTGGCGCCTGAGGCGTCCCCAAGAGGGGAAGTGTCAAGGGGACACGGAAAATTTTTGCCTTGAGCTGTTGTCAATTCCGGTTGTCACGTAGGCGCCCTATATGAAAAACATATCAGGTTTACTTGGTGCTGGTGTATTTGGTAACAACCTTGGTTCCTTCAGAAACGGCATGTTTAGCCAATTCTCCGGGCAAAAGAAGACGGATCGCGGTCTGAACTTCACGGCTGTGATGGTTGAACGTTTATTGTAATAGGCTAGACGACTAGATTCAGCGGCGATTCTTTCAATATGTGAGGCCCGAAATATCAGTTTAGACATAACTTTCATTGTGTTTATCAGAAAAATCCTGATCTGGACTTTAATTCTTGTGTGTTTTTTTTTGTTTTTTTTTGTTTTTTTTTTTGCGTATTGAATTCGTTGTTAGTAAGGCCTCTTCCCGACAAATTAGTTCAAATGGTTTAAATGCAAAATTGAAACTTTTTCGAGAAGTTTGGCTATTCAATGTATGTCAGATTTTTTAGATCTAAACCCTTTATCTTTGTTGTGGAGTTATTTCGCAGTGGAGGCTTGTATTTGTACAAAATCGGTCCTAAAATAGGCTCGACGTACAAAACGTTAGGAACTTGTTATATAATAGGTATTACGCAAAGTAATCTTGTTGCGGTCGCTGATACTTTCGTATTCGACCAACTGTCGACTACTGTCGTCCGACATCGACTAGTATTTAGTCACCCCCACCAACGAGGTAATCATTAAAAACAAGGCCGGTTTAACGTGGGATATCCGAGCCCGTGGTCTCGGCCAAAAATATATTCTTTGAACCCGTAAAAACGGGTTCAGGACTAATTTACCTCCCCGAACGAGACTCCGCCCTTCGGCGTAGCCTCGTTCGGGTTCATAAAAACGCCCGAAGGCAGAGAGTTCAACCTGTTCAGCCGGTCGTCCGACATCGACTGACCCCCGTTTCTCTTACTACTCCTACTTATATTAGGTGGGAGAGTCTATTAACTATAGAATAGGTGTGTTTCACCATAACAATCTATTAATTAATAATGTGCAAATTTTGTTTTAATCTTCCTTTTAATTAAGTGCAAATAACATTAATAGACCTGTAAAATATTACGTGTGTCAAAGGTCACAAATGATCCCCGGTCGCTAAATTGAATAAGATTAGAAAAGAAAATAACGGTAAAGAATAAATTATTCGAAGAAACTCGTTAAACAAAATTAAGGAATTCATTAAAAAAAAAATAATAGATTTTACATTTGGGGTCATTTTTCACTCTCCTCATAATACAGAACCCTAAAAAGTATAATTCTTAGTATCTGTCTATATTTCTGAGATGAGGTATTATGTACACTATTTACATTATTCGGACCATTGTCCTTATCTTTGTCGCCATATTTATTACAACGTTTCGGCCGTTGTACGCTCCAGCCTTCTTCAGGTGGTTAGAATGTCGAACTGAACCCTTTATTTCGCTCACTAGGGTAGACTGATCTAGTTCCACATGCCATGTTTAATGGATGTCAGTTATCAGTTATCTCCTGTTAATTCCCCTCTCCACTGCCTTAACCGGGTATTGAACTCACACTCTTAAAATAGTTCGTCAAAAACAACATAGCTGAATTAGCACATTAAGATTCCACATGCAACAGAGGGAAAAATAGATCAGCCAATACGATCTCTTTTACTAAATACAGCATATATATATATATATATATATATATATATATATATATATATATATATATATATATTCCCTCAATACAAAGTAGAGCAATATTATTTATTTTAGAATATCACACTGAAAACATGTAAAAAATCACTACACAATTGCAGTCGTGTTTCGATGCGTATCAATGCATCTCATCAGGCGATTATAAATTACTGGTGAATGCACAATTTATTTAGATTTAAAAGCAAAATACAACCTCTTTTTACGAAAAAAGAAAAAAGCGAGGGGTTGTGGGCTTTACACTGATCGACCAATCAAATATGACCTACGTTAAATTTAAACTAAGCAAAGACAAAAATTAAAGAGATTTTTATAAATGGGTCATGACCCGTAGAGTGGCAGCTAACGGCAGCCAGACATAAACTAACGCAAATGCAAATGGTTATATAAATAATACAAACTAGAAAATGCCATTTGCTAAGAAATAAAAATGGGGTGAAGACGTAATTTAACAAAATGCTGAACAAGTTATATGTTTTGTGAGTTTCCCACGGAAATTTTTTTTATCATACTTATTATAAAACCAATGTTGTGTGTGTGTGTGTGTGTGTGTGTGTATATGTGTGTGTGTCAGTTCGTTTATATATTGGATCGCATTTCCTACATTTTTCAACCGATTTCAACAAAACTTCACAAGACTACGTAAAATTACTTTGCGGTGGTTGTGATAGCGCCAAAAAATTGGAAAAACACAATTGTTTTTGCACGAAATCAATTTGAAAACACGATTAAGAGGCATCGCTGTGCGTGTGTGTGTGTTCGTTTATATATGGGATCGGATTTCCTACATTTTTCAACCGATTTCAACAAAACTTTTTTTTGGCAGGTAGTGTTTCTTATTGTCTTGCACACTTTTTTTTTATTTTTACATTCAGAATGCTTTAAAAAATTCCATTTACAAGACAATCGTTTATAATAAAATTCTATTCAATCGGTAGACTCATAACGATTGAAAACAATGTTTTTGTTTGAGTTTGAGTTTGACCAATTTGTAAAAAAACAAAAAACAAAACAACAAAAAAAAACTAATTAAGACATGCGTGTCCGTCAACCTTAAACAATAATCTTTGTCAATTTTATTTTTCAGTCTTTATGATAGTCGATACTTGATCTATCTCTTACTGTTACATCCCCGGGCAACGCCGGGCTCTACTGCTAGTAGTTGATAAATAAATAACTTCTTTCAGAAACTAAACAGAACAGATGTATTTAGTTTTATATTCATTATCAAAAGGGCAAAGTGCAATTTTTTGTACAGTCACTATACAAGTCGGGTAAAGGATAGCTTTGAACGAACATTAGAAGAATATCCAACAGAGAGTTGAAAGAACGCTAGGAAATTGGACTTCTCCACGCGTGAAGTCAAGGTGTTGACGATAAACAAATATGAAGTTCTATGAAGGCGTTAAAGATTCAATCAGATAACAGATCTGAAGATTTGTTTTGAGAGTTTGCGCCATTTGCCGAAGGCAGCAAATGTGATAAATGGGATGAAAACGAATTCTACGGCAGATTTTGTTTTTCGAAACAGAAACGAAAACATTGATTTGCAATATTATTATTTCATATCAGAGCGATTATTTTTTTATTTAATTTATGACCTCACCTGAAAAAAGGAAATACTTATAGACTCAAATATAAATGAATAATATTTACCTGAGCCCGAACCAGGTAAATGCTTATAGATTCAAATACAAATGAACAATATTTACCTATGCCAGATCCAGGTAAATGCTTATAGACTCAAATATAAATGAACAATATTTACCTATGCCCGAACGAAATAAATGCTTATAGACTCAAATATAAATGAACAATATTTACCTATGCCCGAACCAGGTAAATGCGTATAGATTCAAATATAAATCGATTGTTTGACCTAATACAATCATTCCTGTCAAACCGTGAATTGAAGGTTGTTCTTAACGGATTCTGCTCCAGTTCCTATCCCACCAATGCAGGTGTTCCCCAAGGCTCCATCCTTGGCCCCACTCTATTCCTTATTTTCATCAACGACCTTCCTGACGCCATAGATTCCCAAGTTGGCATCTACGCGGACGACACTACAATTTACTCCTGCCTCAAAAACAAATCTAGTGTCGGTGACAAAACTAACCTGGCCGTGCGTCTTGAAATGGACCTCCAATCGGTTGTTAACTGGGGCAAGAATTGGCTGGTCAAATTTAACGCTTCAAAAACTAAACTACTCTCTATTAATCACCATAGAGATCCTTCCCTGCCCCCCTCCCATTAGAATGTCTGATAGTCAACTTCTTGAGATCAACTCTCTGCGTCTGCTCGGTCTCACGTTGACTGCTGACCTGAGATGGAACAAATACATTCAGTCAATTGCTTCGTCCACCGCGAGGAAAGTTGGCTCTCTGTGCCGCGCCAGGAAATTTTTCTCCCCGGAAGCGAACTTCAAGTATACAAATCAACCATTCGCCCTTGCATGGAGTATTGCTGTCATATATGGTCTGGTGCACCTTCTGTTTACCTTGGAGTTCTCGACAAGATCCAAAGGCGGATATGTAATATAATTGGCCCTGATCTGTCATCTCGTCTGCAGTCACTCTCTCACAGACGCGCCGTCGCCTCCCTCTGTCTGTTCTACAGATACTTTCATGGTAATTGCTCCGATGAGCTGCTTTCACTGGTTCCCAGACTTCATGAATTCAAGCGCCCTACGAGTCTGGCATCCCACTCTTACCCTTTCACTGTAGAAATTTTTAAATGTAGCCGTCTCTTCTACTCCAATAGCTTCATACCTCGCACCTCTCGCCTGTGGAACACCCTTCCCTATTACTGTTTCCCTGAGAGCTATAATCTCCAACTATTCAAATGTAATGTCAATCGACATCTCCAGTTACCTTGATCTATCCACTATCCTTCTCCTCATCCTTTTCTTCTATCACTCCTATCTGCTCTCGCTCCAAATCTTCTGCAACCCCCTGCATCCTAGTGGCTTCACGCCTTGCTCGGGGCGTAATAAAAAAAAAAAAAAAAAAAATATATAGATATGCCAGATCCAGGTAAAAACTTATAGACACAAATATAAATGAACAATATTTTTGTAATTTTATAAAATGAACGAAACATATGCTTATAGATATTCAAATACAAATGAACAATTTTTTACCTATGCCAGATCCAGGTAAATGCTTATAGACTCAAATATAAATGAACAATATTTAGATATAAAAAAACCAAAAATGCTTATAGACTCAAATATAAATGAACAAAATTTACCTATGCCCTGAACGAAACATATGCTTATAGACTCAAATATTAAATGAACAATATTTTTATGCCAGATCCAGGTAAAACTTACGACTCAAATATAATCAAAAATGAACAATATTTACCTATGCCTGAACCAGGTAAATGCTTATAAACTCAAATATAAATGAACAATTTTCATTAATGCCAGATCCAGGTCAAAATTTATAGATATTTTAGTTTTTTATAAATGAACAATCGAATTATCCATCGAACCAGGTAAATGCTTATAGACTCAAATATAAATGCACAATATTTACCTATGCCCGAACCAGGTAAATGCTTATAGACTCAAATATAAATGAACAATATTTACCTATGACCCAACCTTAGACCATTAAATTCTTGTATATTCAAATGCATACAATTAGTATTTAGCTATGCCACAGCCAATATTAATTCACTTAGACTCAAATTCGAACGACCAATATTACCTACTTGTTAACTAGTTAAGCAGACTGGGATCTTTAACTTTGCTTGATAATCGGTCTAAGGAAAGGACAAATTCAAAAGAAAAATCTGCCACTGAAGTTATTACGCGTCAAGTTGGGCATTTTTCAGTATGAATTATGGTAGCTGTACAGAGAGTAGTATCCATGTTTTATAAGTGTCTATCACTTTTACGTCTTTGTATTTTTTATATAGTAGATTCTACAATGGTTAATTTAGAAAAAGAAGTCCTTCAGACATCCGTCATGTGTGTCTGTGGGTTTGCGTTTTTGTTGCTCAGGTCTACGTATAAGCAGACACACATAAAATGCATGTCTTAACCACATACGTAGACACACTTTTTTCCACAAAGAATGGGTCGGCTAGAACTTGACAATGAACATGTTTGAAATTGTTTGAGAAATTTCGATTACTTCCGATGAAATTCGATCTCAATTGAAGCCTGCATTTCAAGTAATTTTTTGCACATTTTTGCTTGATTAATTCACGTAATGTCCACAAAGGATGTTTTTCTCTTCGGCAGCCGATCGTTAATAAAAATATGTGTTCTTTAATTTTATTTTGTTCGTTTGGAGAAACATTTAAAAGGTACGTTAGGAAATTTGTTGTATGACGGACAGTGAAACAACTGGATGGAAACAATACAAAAAAATAAAGAAAATAAAATTTAAAAAAAAACAGAAAGATAGATAGATAGATAGAAAAATGATAGTATGAGGTAGATAGATAGATATGAACAGACATAGATATGAACAAACTAATAGATAGATAGATAAAAAATAGATAGATAGATAGATAGAGATATGAACAGACTAAGGTAGATAGATATGAACAGACATATAATGAAAGATTGAGATAGATTCGAAACACACATTATATATATATATATATATATTAGAGAGAGAGAAGAGAGAAAAATAAAGAGAAGGAGAGAGAGGAAAATTTATTGATTATAAGACAGATCAGAGAGATATGAAAGGAATTGACTGATATGAAAAACACACACACACACACACACACACACACACACACACACACACATATATATATATATATATATATTTATATAATATAAATATATATATATATATATATATATATATATATATATATATATATATATATATATATATACGGAAACGTCATATAGCAATAAGGGCTTTTATCATATATCCGTATAGGATACAGGTTCGATTTCTGTTCGAGGGCGCATATTTTTTCTATGAAAATTTAAAGAAAATTCAGGTCGGTAAATGTTGTTAATATTGTTTATTATAAACAGAACATTTTCTTAAATATTTGTATCTGCAAAAAGAACGTATAAACATAAAAAATGTATTTAAAATAATTGTCGGAATCTTTGTCCATTTCATAATGTGTGACGTCATTTGTTTACATTTGGATACGCATCGAGCATATATGAATGTACGCGAGAAAATCATGGAGAACTGTAGAAAAAAAAGCAGTAAAATCGATTTTTGAATACAGAAACGCTCCTCTGTGGCTCAATCGGTAAAAGCACGTCAGGCTATATGACGGTTCCGTATAGGATACAGGTTCGATTCCTGTCGGATAATTATAAAATTATCATATATATACATATTTTCTAATTATCTTATATGTAACTGTTATATAAAGTACCTATGAACACTAAAGGGAATGTGAGATTTAATTCTTCATAAATACGTTTAAGTGGGGGTAATATGCTGTCTAAGTAGTCCATCACTAACAGTGGTTTACGTACTTCACGCCGCTGGCGAGTATTGTATTTTTTTGTTGTTATAAAGATTACTATTTCATTTCCAACCTCCGTTTTGATTATTCCTTGTTCAGTAAACTTTTCTAGTTTACAACAGTTACATAAGATAATATTATAATAATGAATCATTGCTTTATCATCGGAGTCGACTTTATCTTTTCTGGTTTCACTTTGATGTTGTTTGCTGTCTTGCAGCTCTGGGCTGAGTGGAAGATTCCGTCCCTCGGTTCAGGTGTCCTCAGCGTATCCGTGTTTGGAGATTTTTTTTTCTTTTCCACTCGTGTAAAACGAACCTCTGTGAGTTGTGTAAACCAGGCCTGTGTCTACCTTTTGACACGCGTGTAAAATGAGCCACTGTGACTTTTGTGTAAACTGGGCCTATATCTACCGTTTCTATTCCAGTGTAAACCAAACTTCTGTGTACGTTCAAACCGGACTGATATTACGGTTTTTGTCTGCTTTTTTATTTTCGCGTATATCGGACCACTCTCTATACTTTCGATAATTTAATATGATTCTTCTCCTGTGAGACATATATCCGAGAGTAAATAACCCAACATATTTGAAAAGTTTTTAAACCCATTGTTTTAAATAAAATGTTTTTTGGAACCGTTTTTTTTTTTTTTGCCAGCGTCCTGGGTATGACGATAAACTACATCCGCGTCCTGGGTAAGACGATAAACTACATGCGCGTCCTGGGTAAGACGATAAACTACATCCGTGTCCTGGATAAGATGATAAACTACATCCACGTCCTGGGTATGACGATAAACTACATCCGCGTCTTGGGTATGACTATTATCTACGTCCGCCTCCTAGGTATGATGATAAACTACATCCACGTCCTGGTTATGACGATAAGTTTACATCCGCGTCTTGGGTATGACGATTTGTTAAAACATCCGCGTCCTGCGTGCTTTTTAAACTACATCCGCCTCCAAGGTATGACGATAAACTACATCCACGTCCTGGGTATGAGGATAAAACGTCCAAACAGCAAGGCCTCTGATAATACGTTTTCATCAAAAAAATAATGAATTTAAACTATTTGTACGTTTTAAAAAAAAATAATATTATAGCTATACGTTTTAAAAAAAAAGAAAAGACATACGGGACAAAAAAAATAATATAACCAGCTATCTATTTTGATAAAAAAAATTAACAGAAATGGATTTTTGAGAAAAAAAATATTACCAGAAAAAAAAAATTGCCGGCATTAAATAACCCATTGAGGTTGATATACCATAAAACAAAATAAACCCAACGCAGTTTATTTTATTTTTTCTGATAAGGAAATTTTTAAAATAAAGGCACAATGAATGTAAAGCGGCCGCCCACGTCCTCCTGAACCGGTCTTTTCAATCCTTTAATCTTCTGCACTTCTGTTGTTATTCTTCACAATGGTTCTTTGTAGCTCTTTCCTTCTTTTTTTTTGACTATTCGCTAATCCCTGTTCTGCTATTTACATTATCTCGTTAGATAGGTTATTCTCTGATTTCCTCCACCCCGACTTACCTTCATTATGTCTTGTAAGTGTCAAATTCTCGAAGCCCTCTTTCCTCATTATTAACCTTAGAAATTTCACATGTTTGTTTTTGATCCGAAGTACAAGTTGCCTTTTTGTTTCCATTTTCTTTAAAACTTCTTCGTGGATCACATGTTCAGTCCATGGTATTCTCAGCATCCTTCGGCAGTGTTATATTTCTGCTATCTCAAATCTCTTCTTCGTCTGTGAAAAGATTGTGCAGCATTCACTGCCATATGGGAAGATCGATATTACATAAAAGTTGAGTAATCTTTTCTTCGTTTCTAACAAAAATTTTCTGTTTCTTAATACTTTGCTTAGCTTTTGGAAGGCATCTTTCGCTATTCCAATGCGTTTTCGAATTTCACTATAGCACTTTCCGTTTTCTGATAAAAACACTTCTGAGATATTTAAATTTTTGTACTATTAAGCCGATTTTTTTTTTTTTTACTGAAGGCCACATTGTTATTTATTTTTCATAGCATTATTAGTCATATAATTGGGGTGTAGCCCAACGGTAACCGGTGCTGAATGTGGAACTAACGAGTTGAGTTCAAGTTCTTACTCAGTCGTTAGCAATCACTTCGCACTAATGCTCTCGGGAAAGGCACAGCTCCCTCGATTTGGGTTATAAATAGAAACCCATAATTATTACTGGATCTTTATAAATTTTTGGGAAAAGCACAAATCTCTATCTTCACCCAGCTAGGGGTTAAATATAAGAGTAAACTGAACTCTCTAGTCTTGATGGGGCGACGGAAGTCATTGTAAGATAAATGCAACTCTGAATTCAAAACTGGGGAGCAGAAAGCGAGAACCCGCTCATATCTTTCCCAAGAGCAATCCTGGAAATTATATAATTTATACATATTAAATATAAAAAAGAAGTTGTGGAGGGCCATATTCGTATACGTCTTGAAGGGCACTAAAACAATTAAAACAATTAAAAAATATGCGTAGACAGAATATTCTATCCCCGACTGTTGCAAATTGCGTAACACAAGTGAGTTTTTAATCATGTCACCCCATGCAAGGCAATAAAGCCACTAAGATACCAGGAGCTACTGAATATGAAAGAATAAGAATAAGAGAAACATTATTAAGGAGCGAGAACAATAAAAGAGTAATCAAGAAGACAAAAAATAACGACTGACATTGCATTTAATTTTTTAAGATTAAAGTTGACTGGAGAGAATAGGACCAGAAGAGAGTTCCACAAGAGGGAAGTGCGAGAGAAGAAACTCTTAGCATAGAACTTACGGTTGAATCTAGCTATTTCAATGGAGAATTGATGAGATCTTGTTGCCAATCTAGTTCAGCGCTTCAATTCACAAAATCTGGGTACCATAGTGACGAGCACAGTCGAACAATTACCATGAAATTATTTATAGAAAAGGCAGAGGGAAGCCATATTACGATGATGGGAAAGTGACTGAAGCCGAGGAACTAAGTTAAGAATTTCTGTCATTGTCTATGTGTTTCTTTTAGTACCGATAAATTTCTATGAGTGGTCCAAGTTGCTGTAAGATGGGTGTTTTACTGTCACTAGAAAGATTGCCGACTAAGAGCTTCTATTTGCCCATTAGCACACCAGCCAGTTTTGGATCCAGAGTTGATATTCTAGGAAAACCATTACCAAATAAGATTAAATACTTCAGTTTAGTCTGCTATTTAACCTATATCGAGGAGGGGGAAGAGCAGTCGATTTGTTTCTTTTATTTCACTCCCTAAACGTATTTATGTTAGGCTGTGTTATTGAAATATTTGCTCAGGTTTAAAGATGTTCTGTGATTATAATATTTCTTCTTAAATTGAAATTCCGTTGAACGAATATATATCATAGTGGGAAGGCCTGTAAATTCGATCTCTATATAGCATATTACTAGTTAAGCATTGACCAGTGAGGGGGACATTTTCCCGTCTGTTGTAGTTATTAAGTGTATCAGTAACTGATTTAATATGTAATGATTTTTTCGTTTTGTCATTTGATAACGCATTTCATATTGGTCATACAAGTATACCTAATTTTAAATCTATTTTATTTATGAGTAAGCAAAAGTATATCTTGAACTTTTTTCCAATTTTATTGAGACACCATTAATGTGGTCCATACAATCTGTCATTGTGCATTTAAATTAACCTTTAAATTTCTTGCTCTCGAAATGCAGCGGATAAGTTTTGATGTGGGCTGGGGTGGGCGGTTTTGCAATCAGTCTTCTTGTTCAGCAATTCTCACGATATTATCCGGAGAATTTTTGGTGAATCGAAAATTTGCTATAGTTTTATTTTTCTCTCACTGTCTCTCTCTCTCTCTCTCTCTCTCTCCTTGATCAGACAATTCGTCTATATATTGTTGAACCATCTCAAAGACGATAGATTTTCTTTGCTGCCATATCGATGTATGTAACGTCTGCTAAATGGTGAAAGAAAAGCAAATCACACATAACGATCGTTAAAACTGGCGTTTGAACACGTGATTCCGTTTCACACGTGACTGAAAGTTATGATATATAACTATAATTTCAAAT